TCATAACGGCAGACAGACATAAAAAGTGTTGATCACAACAGGAATTTCAAACAGGGCGGAGAAGATTCACACTAGCATCTGTGGCTAAGCTGAAGCTAACAAACAGAAGAACAGCTGCAACCACTTTGCACTAATGTTGTCAATAATAACTTCAATACGGGATTTTAAAAGGTTGAATATCAGATTTTTTTAAAAAGGTTAAGCACAGCAGATTTAGACTCAAAAAAGTCACAGATTGTTGAAATACTACAACTGAAGACAGAGGAGAGAGGAGGCCACACATTCCAACTTATTTGTCCGATTGAGGCAGCGTGCAGGAGTTTTCCTGCAGTTTCTGGTTATTAAATCAACGATTTCTCTCGATTATTACTCGTATTTATTCAAGGTTAAACTTCTGGTGTTGTGACAATCCTACTTTGCATTGCTCCAGGTTAAAGACAGCGATTTAGCTTGTTTTTTTATTACTCTTTCTGAACACAAAGCGTATTGTGTGAGTCACCTCCTGCTTCTTAAAAGGTTTGATGATTTCAGGGTCATAAAAAGCAGGAAAACACATTAAATTGTGGATTGTCTTCACAGTTCACGCAGTGGCTATTTCCCTCTGACATCATGCTCAATGTATGAGTCTCTATTGTCAGGTTCTTCTGCTGTATGCGTTTTTGTGATTTGTTGAAATAAAATGAATCTGACAAATAGTCATGTATCGCATCTTGATTGATCAGTTTTAAAAAAAAAAGAGAGAGATTCAAGGTCATAATCAACATTTTTTATCGCTCTTTAGTTCCTGTGTCCAGCTAGCGTTTTTTTCTGAGCGTCACTCAATTGTTTCTAATGAGTAGAGAGCGTTTGCAGCAGGAAGCCGCCTTTGTGTCTTTTTTTCTGAGTGCTCCAGCTTTTTTGTGCGGCTGCTCTGAGCGCTAAAATTGAAAATCTTTCAACTTTTCAGAAAGTCGCTGTTGATGTCACGGCGCTCTTTTCAAAATGTCTGATATTCGCTGTAGTTTTGCCTCCTACAGATCGTGTCTTGTGCCCACATCCTCTTTGGACCGGATGTTACTTCAAAGGCCGCTGTATGAGCTGCTGTGATACTCGTCATGTAAATTATAGTTGGATACATTAGCTCGTCTGTAAACATATTCTCTTCCTCAGTTCAGTTTCACCCAGTCGTCATGACTACGGTCAACACAGAGTTTTTTTTCACCAGGGGGAGGGGGGGGGAGGTGAGAGAACTCCCATGATTCCCCGCCAGCCACGATGTTATCTTTTGTTATTGTCGTACTGATTGAGAGCCCCCTGGTGGAGGAATCTACAAACTGTATCTTTAAAATATTGATTTGTTTCAACACAGCATTATTCAAACATATTCACATTATGAGCAGGAACTGGCGCTCGAGTAAAGCTTCTTTAAAGTTCAAATTACTATGCAATGGGGTCGACTCGTGCTTCCTGCATGTTAATAAACTGAATGTAAATTTGAAAAAAAAATCTGGTTCATATCCAACATCAGAAGGAAAATAACCATTAGTCCACTCCCTCAGAGATCCCCTGTGTTTATGCACACACACACACACACACACACACACACACACACACACACACACACACACACACACACACTCAGAGTAACAAAGAGCGTGGGCTGCCCTGCACTTGTGGAGGAGGTTTAATGGTACATGGGCTTCCCTGTCTGCCGGCTCAGCACCAGAGCCTTCGACTCAAACCCTCGACAAGCAGAGCATCACTCCTCTTCAGCCTGCACTACAGTCACCTCGACTTCAACACAAACACACACACACACACACACTGAAACACACGTCTGCACAGGGATTCTACATCTCTACATGCGTTTGCACTTAAACACCTCCACAAGCTCCACAGACGCTCACTGACTCAGTCGGCTGAGAGCTTCGGGCTCTTTTCAGGTTCAGTTCAAGACGAGTCTGCAGGTACAGAGGACCTAGGATCTGTACTAGGGTTGCCATGATACCAGAGTTTTAAACGTCTATATAATACTGAAAATCAAACAATATAAAGACCTGTTTTGATATCACAGAAAGAAAAAATAGAGTCCTAGGCACCCAATGTGTGGTACTTTCAAGTTTTCAATAATCAAAAATTTGGAAGCCACATCGCACAAAAACATTGTATCATGTAAGTTCTTTGTGCAATTTAGGCAGCGTGCAGAGTGTGTAAAGTGAGCTTACTATATGATCAGACATTAAGGAAACATGCTCTGTTTGTCAGATATGAGAGCACTTATCAGGTCAAACCAACAGGTGTTGCAGCGATGGAAGCGGGCAAGAGAAGTGGTTCAGATAGAAGTGATTTTTTTCTTCTTTTGACTACCAGAGTGATGTGGGTAGATTTAGACAAAAAAAAACTAATTGTTAAAGTTTATGAAACACATCTTAGTGGAGTCAAAACTAAAAACTCAACACTGATTTGTCTCACACAGGACTTCAATTCCCGTTTCAGAGCGCTCTACATCAAACAATAACTACGCCGCCTTCTCCCGCCTCTGGTTAGACCTCTAAACTGGGTCATGATATATACAGTAAATTTATATTTTAATAAATGATAGCGCTAATTACAGCCTGATTTCAGCCTGTTTCTCCTCAGGAAAGTGGGAAACCTACACTTTTCAAGCCACTCATGCTGGTCCTGAACCGAGAGAAGCCCTGGAGGAGAAATGGATTGTGGGTATTTTATAGTAGCGTGAAACTGGACCTTTCCTCCTCCTCTGATTCAGTTACTAAAATGAATCCTGATGGAGAGCAAATCAAATTATCTCTGCGTCTTTGTTCGAGTTAAATGCACATTACTGCAGCTTTATTCCATCCGGTAATAGAAGTATTGTGTAATTAATACAGCAGCTGCTACAATCCATCTCAACCAACCAGCTAATTGGTTGGTTATGAATTATTCACCCGTCAAGGGAACGGAGCAGAGTATAGCTTCTTCTACCTGCTGGAAGTGGAGGTAGAGACACCTTGATCATTTCTGGCTGCGTGTGCCCACAGATGGTGGGGGAGCAGCGGACCTGGCCTGAGACTTCCATCCATACAGTAAAAACCGGACTAACTGCGCCAAACACAGTGACAGATCGCCGTGGAGTCACAGTGAGTCTGTGCGTCTCAGCAGGGAGCCAGCAACCTAAAGAGTGAGAGCTTTGTCTCACTACCACAAATACGTTGGCGTCGTTTCTGTACCGAAACGTGTCCAATGTCATTTTGGCAATTCAGACAGTGTGCACAGTCTTCCTGCAACTTATATCGAAAACAATAAATACACAATAACAGGTACCTAGGACTTCTATTGTTGCCATGGTAATGAAACAGATCTCTAGATAAGTTCTGGTATCATACGATCGTAGTTGTACATAATGTTCACTGCGATGGATGTTTTTTAGTGTTGCTAATGTAGGAACTTTGAAAGAGCTCTTTTATAGAAGAAGGGTTCAGTGCCTTGCTCAAGGATACTTCAGCAGTGCTCAGGAGGTGATCCACTTCTCAGATTTGATCCACACCGGGACTTGAACTGGCGATCCTCCAGTTCCCAACCAAAGACGCCCATTTCCACAGGAACATAACATAGTACCGATATTTTCTGATAACATTATAGTAACGTTAAAACTATATGTTCATCCCTTGGACCAGCTCCCATCAGCTTCAAGGAGCTTTTTAGCTGGTTTGAGCGTATTGCTTATAGAGCCAGAACATGCAACGTTTCAGGTCATTGCAAACGTCTTAGTGGAATCTCTCTCTTTCGCCTGTGGCAGCTTTAGGTGAAAAGTATGACTGAACATCTGTCAGGGTTTTTATAATCTTCTGAACTTTTTGATACTACCAATCACGACAATAACAAAGATTGTAACGTTTGAAAATGTAACTTTTTGATAACCTCTATGCTTGGAAAGCTAGAACAGGCTGCTGCTCTCTAATACACATCCTGCTCAACAAACACCAAACGGCAGAGAGAGGAAGTTGGTGACTAGCTCGTGAAAACGTCGGAGCATGTAGCAGCTGAAGAGCCAAACGGAAGGTGGTGGAGATGAAATCTGAGCTAAAAGGAGAGTAAATCTTAGACTTGGGCTGCTGGACCATGACCATCAACTTGCAACATGGTTTTTTTTCATACTTGATAACATGCAGAGTGCAATGACCCACGGGACACATCCAAGTAGGGGTTAATATAACTCAGCAGCCCAATCTGCAGCCTCAAGTGTGGCCATGAAGTATAAACCAGCTCCTCCTCAAACATCACATCCAACACTGAGCAGATTTCTCCAAAATCATGAATGGAAATGTGAAAAACGACACTGAAGTTTGATATATTTGACAAAATTCCAGTAACAACCATGAAATGAATAGTTGTTTTCCATGTTAACTGACACTGAAACACACAGTCGGCTGCAGAGATATCAGATCAGGCTGTGATCTTAACCCCCCAACGAGAGCGTCTGAAAATGAGCAGAATGCTCCTTTAAGACAGAAATGCAGAAAGATGTGTTACAGCTGCAGTATGTGTTAACCCGTGAGCTGTGTGTGTGTGTGTGTGTGTGTGTGTGTGGGGACCGGACAGTGCAGCATCACTGCTCTGCCTCTTCTGCAGAGCGGCCCATGTGACAGATGGATGCTATAACGGAATTAGAGACAAGAAAAAAATCACAAGGGCCCATTATCACCGAGCCCCTCTCTGCCTGACAACAAGGATTAAAGGCACACTACCACCACCGTCATCATCTTCATCATCAGCACCATCACTATCATCATCACCCTCATCACCACGATTAAAAGGAACCCCCTCTATCTGTGCATTCTGCAAAGCCGCATTCAACTCGAACATCGGCACTTTATCGAGCATTTCTGCGCTGCACATTTGCCGCACACTGAGCGCCCTGATGCAAAAACTGCAGCCCAACATGATGTCAGCGGCGCGGTGATGCTGCGGGGACTCCTGACAGCATCACCAGCATCTGGGGTGGGGGGGCTTTCACTAACCTGTCTGTCCTTTGCCCAGCGTCTTCTCCAAGCGGTACGGTCCCACATAGTTGGCGTAATGCCCGCTGTCCTTTGCCGACGATGACATGTTCGGGTGTGAAATGACTCACAGGGAGCGATCTCCGTGTCGGGCGCGATTCTGGGAGAGAAAAGCGCAAAATCCGCGGCGCAGTGGAGTTCGCCTCGGTCGGCGTCCCTGTCCTCCTCGTTGGCCGCTGGTCACTGCAACAAACCGTCTCTCCGCGCGAGGTTCCTTGCGTGCGTGCGCGCGTAAGTCTCCAGGTCCGTCTCTCGGTGTCCTCGTGCAAGTTCCGTTGAGTTCCTCGTGCGGGCTCAGATTGCGGGTTTGAATCGGGGTGTCATGGTGTTGGTGCCGGAGGAGCGGTGCGCTGCAGCCCCGTTGGGTGTGATCTGATGATGGGACAGCATCTACTGCTGCTGCTGCTGCCGCTGCTGCTGCTGCTGCTGTCTGCCGCTCCAGCAGCCTGCGTCAGCACGAGCCGAGGTGTACGTGCACTTCCGGTGGTCTCTTTCAAAATACGAGCTGTTCGCTTTACTGTCAGGACTGTTGCACTGGTGGTTCCCAAGAATGACATCAAATCAAAGGTGAAAACGAAGAATAGATCATCTCTCCTTTTGTTGAGGTCACTTTAAATTCTGTGCACGATCAATCAATGAATCAATGAATCTCTATCGATCTATACATCTGGAGAACAAGTGCTCTAGTTAGTGGTCCTGCCTGTGACATGATAGGCTGACACATTAGTTCATATTTATACAAATGGCTTATCAGTTGAAAAGAACCATCAAATTATTTTAGTTTTATTATTCAGATTAAACATTAGAAGCTCGTCTCTATATACTCTTAAAATAAGAACATGTGTTTTTCTAGGGCCTCTGTGCATCCCTCTGATTCCACACCTGTAAGAACACAGTTCAGCAACAATAAGCAGTGGTGTAGTAAACAAACTTGCACATTTTATTTTCCGATCAGAACTGATAGAGGCTCGGTCCGTAAGGGAACATGAGTACAGCAGCAGTTCTCTGCAGGTACGCGTAAAGATGTGGTCTATATGTAACTGCAATTTTAAACAATTAACCCTCAATAACACAATAATAAAAAAAAACAGAATACAAATTGAAAATATGACAATGCCGAGTTAAATATTATAATTACCTACGTGTCATTTCTTAAAGTGAACCATCCAGAACCCTTTAAGTGAACCTATGTATGGTTTTTTCCTAATGTCTGAATATTCTGGTTTTATTTTGAAGGCCACTTCGTCTGACTTCCACTACCTTGACGCAGCTGCTTTAATTACCGCACACGCATGCGCAGAGAGCTTGCATCACAGGCGCTGGTGTTTGAATTGGGGTCGAGGTGACAGTGGAAGGAGATGAGAGGCTGACAAAAAAAATCTATAAATGGCTCAAATAAAGGGCAAAATGAGATGTTAATATTTCCCAAGATGCACTGCTGAGACTCGCTGTACTATCTTTTTTTTTTTTTTTTAAACAAATATAAATCAAAGAAAAATCTTCACATGTACATGTTTGGTTGATTTCTAAATGTCAGCTCATTGAATCTATAGGATCGTCACATACCATAATTATAAACTTTTATCTTATACTTTAAGATATCGATAACTGTTTCGATACCACGGCAACTAAAACAGAAATATGACTTAAGAGTCGGAGTTTTTCGGTACTTTCGATACTGCTGATCATTAAAATAACAGAGATTGTATCGTATAAAAGCACGTGATATCAAAAAGTAGCAAGATTTACTGACCTCACTGATAAAATAAGTCAGACGCCCAATTAATCATTAAATATGAAGAGCAATTACTATTCACCTTGTTTGTGTGGTGTGTGTGTGTGTGTGTGTGTGTGGGGGGGGGGGGGGGGGGGGGGTTCACACTGTGACACTCTCACTTGATTAAACCAGCGGTTGGTGACAACGACCATCTCTCTGTCTCATCACTCCTTCACAACAAAAGCCTTTTGACCCAGCACGCTCAGCAGCAGATGGGCTCCCCCACCGCCTCCCACCCTCCACCTCCTCCTCCTCCTCCTCCTCCCTCTGCCTCCCCCTTTCCCTTATCTACCCCCCTCCTTTAAAACCGTGTCCTGAACAAAGACAGGGGGGCCTCCATTTCACCACATTCAGACCTGCTCGCCACGGGACAGCTTTCCCCTACATTACTTCCTGTTAATTAATGTAACACCCCCACCCAGCCAGCCCCGCCCTCTGTGGGCGACACAGGTGGAGGTGGCGACCCCCATCCACAGATCAATGATGATTTCCCTCTTAAATTCATGCCACAGTGCCTGATCTCCGCTGTCTGATCCCCTGGTGGTTGTTATTCTGTTTGACAGCTGCAGACAGAACCGCGGCTGTAAAACTGCTCGTCCTAATCACCTCGACGTGAAATAATCTGCCATCATCAGCCGCGTCTCTGAGGACAGGAAGCAGGACTGATGTGTGTGACTGTCTCTGTATGATAACAGCTGAGTGAGTTATGGAGTACACGAGACCAGAGCTGCAGAGCCCCCAAACCTCTAAAAATGATTTATGAGTCTGATCTTTACAAAACTGCTTCTTCATAAGCATAACAGGCCAAAAGCAGTGTGACTTTGTTGTTTAAGGGTTAAGCCAAACGCCGCACAACGACACAAACACAAATAAACTGATGTCCAGGGCCTGACTGTTTGAAATAATCCAACAGAATTAAAGCCATCAGATTGGATCTAATGACGTCATCTTATTTATCATCATGTTTTGGACGTTTTTTAAAGGATTGTTTTAATAAACCCTGAAAACTTCTCAGCAGGAAGTGGAAGCAGGAAGCTGGCTGATAGGAGAAGCCAGCCACACCTCCTGCCACTCGCCTACCTGCAGGAGAAAGAACAGAAAGGGAAGGGGAGAAGGAGAAGGAGAAGGAGAGAGAACAAACCAAAAACTAACAGAATCGTCAAACTAGGCTAGCCAAGCAACAGCCGTTACCTCGAGACTGATCGGCACATGTAGAGACAAATCAGTGTTGTACGCGTGGTGTTTTGTTTTGGATGGTTGGTTGAAACCCGGGGTCTATACTACAAAGTGAGTTCAACATACCCAGGTTATCTTTGGGTTATCTAGCTTCACTAGCCCTAACATAATCAGGATTAACAGTCATACGGAGCCGGTTATCCACCTGATAGGTAACCCTCGAGTTTCAAAGAGCGTGTTCACATAAAAGGGGGCGGAGCTAGCTTCATATAACCTATCACAATAATCACTGCGTCTCCCGTTAGCAGATCATCATATCTATGAAACTCTGAACTATATTAATAACACAAAGACGTTTAAGACAAACAGGCTCCCAAAGACTAAAGTTACACAGCTGCAGGAACAAATGCAGGAAGGACAACTGGCAGAAAAAAAAACGTCGGTGAGTATTAATGTGCAAACTGCAGCTTATTATATTTTCTTCCCATCGTTAGTTCACATTAAAACTGACGATAATAACTCCTGTTTTTTCTGTTAATTGAATTTGTTGCTCTGACGTGTATAACAGTTTGAGAAGTTATATTTCATCTGCAGCTCTGACGATAACAAACAGAGCGGCATGGAGACACTAAACATTCATATGAAGATATAATTCAAAGACATAAGAAGCTCTTCATAATTTTACATCTTAAAAACCCAACTCAAAGGCTCCGGTGCTTTTTTTTTTTAGTCTCTGTTGAAGGATGAAGGATATCAGTGAACAGTAATCATTAACTTTACAGACTATAATGTAAAATCACGCTGACACATGAAGTGTCCTCCCGCCTCTGCATCAGCTCCGGAGCTCCACGCTCAAAAGATCTGATCATTGGTGGAGATTTTCACAGGTTGATCTCTTATCTCGATCATACAGTAACCTGCAGGTTAGGTGTGCAGCATAAGTTACCGTGGCGATTAGGGCTGGAAATCTTTGGGTGTCTCACGACTCTGGATTCATGGATTCAAAGTCTATTTTTGGATTAGTACAGATTTCAGGAACCACTCCAGTCATCTACTCGCTGATTTTCTTGCTGCTCCATATATAAATATATATATACCCAGGTCAGAAGTGAGTAGGACTGAAAACTCAGGGTTAACCCTGAAGTTACCTCGCTAACCCAAATCCTGCTTCGTAGTACAGGCCCCCGAACAGGAACTGTCAAAAACAAGGACATATTAGTGTTCTCTAGATATTTGTTGGGACAGTTACAGGCCCACTTAAAATTATAGTCCACTTCATAAGGAATAAATTAGGCTTTAATTTAAAGCAGCTAAAAAGAGCGCCCCCTGTGGACAAAGTATGCAGGGAGATGTCCAATTAACTTCTTAAAGTCATCATGGATTTAACCCCGACCACCATCCTCCCCTCACTTTTGACAAACTCGTTCTTTGCACAGCTGTAAACAAACCTTTAAGGAGAAGTCTGTCAGCCTGTAAAATACATCGTTTGTTTTTCTTGATGAGAGTCGGGTACGATTGTTCAGTTAGCTCCTGCCAGATGCTAGATAACGTAAAGTATTCAGGCTAGCTGTTTCCCATGTAAAATATGACAAGTGTTGCTGTGGTAATATTAACTTTTCAGATGTGTGTGTAGGTGGGGTGCAGGTTTACCTCAATGTCCAGAGTGCGAGATCCATGTGCAAAGGCTACCGTCATGGCTGCAGGGCTCGACTCTTTGCTTCATGTCATCCCATCAGCCTTCACCTTCCTTCAGCTGTCCTGAGGAAAAATGAACAAAGAAAAATAATGAGGGCAGAAACCTGTTCCGATGCACAGATCATGTTCACGGTGTATTTTTCTGCTGAGTGCCACGAGCTGCTTGTGAAAAAATCAAAACAGACTGCGGGAACACGTGCTGCAGTGTGCAGGGGAATAAAACAAAGACTGTCTTTTTAAGAGTATTTACCAAACAGCTGAATCTTTCTATCAACCAAAAGGTGGCTATAGGCAAAAAATACGATGAAATATAATCCCTAAAAAACATTTTTATTAAGACTAAGTGTTATCACGATTATATATCATGTGCTTTTTCTATCCCGCAGCCTCGTCGCAGATCAGACAAAACTCTCTGGATCTTTTCTCTCTATCTTGATGCTTCCTTCTCCCACAACAACCAACAAGATGAGCTGCATCTCAGGAAGCCATTAGCACCAGATACAAACACGCTACATCAGTGTCCTACACACTGAAACAAGATGCACACACTGTACACACACACACACACACACACACACACACACACACATCCAGCTATCAAAAGGGTTCTATGGTGAGCGTTGTCAGAACTGGACATACATGTTTTCCATTTCTGTGTTTGTGTGAATGTTTGTGTGTGTGAGCAGGTGTGTGTACTTAAACTGGTGATGCACATTTCTTTAGCTGTAGAAGAAGAAGGAAGAGGGAGATATAAATATTGTAGCGAC